CACTCCCTAACCAGGCTTGAAAGTTCTCAAGCAACCAAGCAGTCAACTCAACTATAACTACCTACCCTCCTCTTTACACTTGAACACAGCCCCTTCATCCCATTTCCTAAATCTAAAGACATTATGTTCCCCATGTAAATTAGAGTTCGAGATAGAAATATGATTAACATGCTATAAGACAATATTCTGGAATTTGCATTACCAAGATTTAATTAACTTGAAATCAATCTGGTCATGTATGTCACAATCCGTATTGAGATTGGCCATTAGAAACAATGAGTCACATCATAGAACATAAAACTGGAATGGTTTGATAGTAGCTTGAAGAATAGTGAGGCTGTTAGGGTCTTCCATTGCATAGTTGCACCTCTCCCAAAAAGTTTGTTAGTTTGAAGAGCAGACCTCAATACAGGGACAAGTTCAAGAGCTCCAAACATAAATGAATTTCACAAATAATGCACGAGATCACCAGATAACTAAATTTGAAGAAACTACAATCCCTACAAAAGGGCATCTTAAACAAAAATGAGACAATATCTTGTCCAGTTCAACCTGCATGAATGCTGGAACAATTTGGACCTAATTGTTATGTTCCGTTGTTTTGGGGAACTAGCAGAATTTTCATGTCATATGAGTTTTATTTGATGCAAGTACAAAGGTTGCTAAGTGCTAACAATGATTTGGAAGGTGACTCAAGAAAAGATTCATCTTAAACTGAGATTACGTTTATGCAAAACAACAATCACATGAAGTGACATGTTAATTCTTATTAGTGAAGTGGGGGACCCAATTCAAATATGCATTTGGTTGAATGTTGAAACACACCTCAACAAATATTCCTATGTGATGAATCACATGGATGAGATATAAGATGGAAGACAAATTCAAAATCTATAAAAAGAAAGATAAATAATAAAAATTGTCAAAAGTAAATAAGAAAAATTAACATAAAAAAGCAAATACATGCATCCCATACATGAATATCGTTGTTCAACTTCTAGACCAATGTCAAAACTTATGGGGGCAAACATGTCAAACCATAGGTGTCCATGTCTGAAATTTCAATATGTTAACACGAAAATGCCTCCATGTTTGACACCAAACATGACACATGCTTGGTGAGGCTCATCAGATTGTCTACTGGTATGTCGAAAGAAACACATTACTCGGATATAGTGGTAAAGCCACGCACCACGACATGTCGAAAACAAAAGGCCTCTAGATCCAATGATCGAATGGGCCGAATGACAAATTCAATATTTATCAAGATAGATTTGGGAACAGGAAATAAGAATTCCAACTAAAATAAAGCTATTATGTATCTTACCAATTGCTCATCAGTTTATGAATAAATCTAACAAGCAGGTCATAAATGACCAAAACAAAATTCATGTCTACAAACAGCGTCGTATGATGTTGGTTATCTGGGGGAAGAGAAGAGCAGGAGACGAATTAGGAGGAAAACGCTGATGTGAAATAATGAGGCTAGGGGAGGGAAAAGAAAGCAAGGGTAGAGTGGGTATAGGAGCTTGGGAAAAACGAGATGAAGGAGCAGTTTGCATGTGAAACACGATTGGATGGGTGAAAAGGGGGGGGAAGGGGCACGATAGGAGAGGGCAAGTGTCCACCATCTGTGTAGAGGAAGGGCTCAGAAAAGGTAACTGAGGAAACAATAGGGTCAACGAGAGAAAAGAGGGAAAGGGAGGAGAGTTGCTTGCTAGTTTCCTAAGACCGGAGGGAGACATGGAGGGAGGACACCTAGTGTCACGGGATTGGAAAGGGAAGAAACGATCACATGCTCAACAGGAGGATTCGACGAAGGACAAGGGCCGTGGAGCCACGTGGCATATCCTGAAAAAGAGGAAATTACGATCAAGAGATCGTTGAGATGCACAGTAGGGGAGGATCGATGGCGAGACAATCGAGAAAGAGCCACGTGGCTGTTCCAGATGGGGAGAAAGAGCCGCCTGCTCTAAGGCCAGGGATGACTTGCCTTGGGAAATGGGGTTTATGAAGCCACCTGTCGTCCCATCAGCCTTAATGATGGGAAGCTCAACAGGTGGTAAAGCTCTTGGGGCAGCAGTTTGCTTAGCACCAACTCTGTTAGTCGCACAATCGAAACTTGGACGCTGATGGTCATTTCCCGACCATCCTCCATGCGAGACCTCGGTCCATCTCTGAGATGGCGGGACGATAGGGGAAAGGTGAAGGACCATGCCATGGGAATGTTCAAGAAGAGGCCATCAACTTCAGCCAGATGGAAGGCGGGATGAGGGAAGGGGCCAACGATTCTATGAAAAGTTGGATTGATCCAAGGGGAAGGGTGCCTGAGGACCTCTAATGGACCAAGCTAAACTCGTCGCAAGAGTCCCCAATTGTTTTGAAAGTGTCGATGTGCCACGCCTGCATGGGGATGTTGGTGGCCTGAAACCAAATTGTTTACAAAACGACTCCTAGGAACTAATTCCAAACATTAAAGGGTGAGAGATGCCCCATTGAACCGAGAATGGTGTCCCTGCTAGGCACTATTACAACTGACTTCAGATGGGAAAGAGAAAAGAAATTCTCTAGGTAGGTTAGGTCTGAGAATGTCCAAACTTCCCATTTCCATTTCTCTATACCTTTGATGTCGTGCCTGAGTGGGTGTATAGACCTACCGAAGAGGACCTCAAAGCCTTCACAATATGGGAAGAGTGTGGCTCCCCCAACTAGAATGGTGAGAGGGGCGAGGGAGCTCCATTATGGATGAGGTAGGTGTAGCTATGGTAAGGAGAGTGGGGGGGAGGGGGGGGGAAAGAGGCTAGAGAGGAAGAGGGTTGGGCGAGGAAGGCGGCGGTTGAGTACGAGTCAGGGCTAAGAGAAGGAAGGCTGTGGTCGAGGGGGGCCCAGGCTAGGGAGAGGAGGGAAAGCACTCCAAGACGGACCCAAGTTCTTTGAATCACCCTCTCTCTGTATTTTTAATTATCTCTAATACGGTCAACCAACATTCTTCCTCTCAATCATTGGTGGTACATACAAAAAATTACTCTCTAGTTTAGTACTATTACCACAAAAAGTTCTTAATATCTTAAAACATCTTAAAATAATAAAACATGAATTTTAAAATTATAAATATTATTCTTTTACCAAAGTACCTATACATAATTAAAGTAATAGATAAATAAGAAAAACTAACATAAAAAAGTAAATATATGCATCCCATGTATGAATATGGCTGTTCAACTTCTAGACACATGTCAAAACTTATGGAGGCAAAAATGTCAAATCATAGGTATCCATGTGTGAAACTTCGAGATGTGAACAAGCAAATGCCTCCATGTTTGACACCAAAAAATGACATGCTTGGTGATCCTCACCAGATTGTCTACGCCAAACACACCATCTGAACCTATAACTAAATTTTAATGAAGCTATGTATGTTCTACTTTAAGTGAGAGAAGTAACGACTAAACCCACATCCATGAAAAGATAGACTAAATTAAATCATTTATAGGAACAACATGTAAAACCAAGTTACATCCTAAACATAATACCCGTAAATTTCCACTATAAAGAAAATAATTAAGAAGATAAAAAAATCATAATCAACATACAAACTAAGAAAAATTCAACTAACAATTATATACTAAAAAAAAAACCACTTCAAAAGAAAAATGTACTCAGATTCAGGGAAATGGTAGCTGATGCAACTGTGGCTGCCATTTTCAGATTAGAGAGCAAGATCTATAGTACCTTCAAAATCTCTTCTGTAGATATTGGACCAGATGTCCAGTCCAATGTATATTGCGGGCAAATAAACCCCAGGACCAATAAATAGTTAAAAAAAAAGCGACCTAGATAAACCTAAATTATCTAGATGAATCACCACAATGAACCCCCAAACCATTGAATTCCAAAATCCAAGCTTATGGCAACAAATCAGTAGCATAAACCTTCAAAAAGAAACCATGAAAAACTAGATAAGCCGTAAATAGGGCACCAAGAACAAAACCCTAGTTCAGGTTAATGAATGGCCTCGAAATTTCAAAAGCAAAGCAACATAAACCAGAAGAAATCCCTGAAAGAACGATACCTATGACTTGGATTCAACGTAAGAAACCCTAATACTCTTCGTGCTCCATGGATTCAACATCCTCTGGGTTAGCTAAAACACCACCCATATATGTAGACTAGTGTAGAAGAAAGCCTAATACTAGTTTGCAAAGCAAGAGTAGAACAACAAGAGAATCGCAGTAAAGAGTTTCTCTCTATAAAAAAAAAAAACTAACCAGTATGTAAGAAAAATGAGGGTGAATAGCTTTTATAGTGATACAGATTTTTATTTTACCAAGTGTCTAAAATGCTAACACTGTAAAATAAAAATAACTCCCTAAGTCTGTTTACACTATAATTTGGAAATGGGTTCCAAAAGTTTATAGACACTGATTGATTCAATCTTTCGTTTAACAGGAGGATAAAACAGAAAACAAAGAAAATGAAAGAATCTTGTAGAGAGATAGAGAGAGAGAGAGAGAGAAGGGGAAATCTAACTTGCTCTTAGGGTTTTTAAGTAAAAAGAAAGCACAAAGAGATGTGAAGAACAAGGAGGAGGAGAAGAAGGGAAAGGGTTTTTAAGTAGAAAGAAAGCACAAAGAGATGAGAAGAACAAGGAGGAGGAGAAGAAGGGAAAAATAGTACTTCAAAATTCAAACTAATGGGCCTCAACAAATATATGACTGTTGGTTTTGTCTCTACCTCAACCATCATATACTTCCCCTTCATAACAATCTCTCTCTCTCTCTTTGGTTCGTTCAAGCCTTAGATTGAACTTTCTCGGGCTCGTCATAGTTGGAGTCTAGATGGAAATAGAGATTGAAGTCTAGCTCTCAGAGAGAGATCGAGGTGGAGATTGAAGCTGAGCGCTTGCTCTATCTCTCAAAAAAAAAAAAATCTAAAAGATTCATCGCCACCAATAAATCGCTTCAATAAATAGATTAACAAAGGCTAGTAGAATCCCATACCTTTCCATCTTACTCTGAATGGAGCAACACCATGCTTTGACATTTGTAAATATATGTATCCATTTTTTATATGGGCGCGCAAGACTGAAACAGAGCGTAAAAGATACGAGCATAAACAAAACAAGTTATGGCCTATTGGGTATTCAGAGAGAGAGAAAGAGACTATTACAATCCCGATAAATAAGGCTGAGAGCATACAAAATACAAGATTCAGAGAGAGAGAGCGAGAGCAAACAAAGGATAGATTAGAGAGAAAAAGGGCAATTAGGGGCATCTTACTGGTGATGAGAGAGAGAGAGAGAGAGAGCAACGAAAGGATAGCTTAGATGGAAAAAGGGTAACTACAAGCAAAAGGAACTTATCTTCCATAACCAAATTTTTAATAAAAGAATGAAACCAAAAAACAAACTTATATGAAGTTTTTGCATTCACCTTGGTCATCAAGATCTTGAGTTTCAAATCGTAACAAGTCTTGAGATTCTTCTTCCTCCTTTCTACTCTTTTGAATGCCCATAAGCTTGAGTCTGACTTTTGTAGGATATAGCGTCCCTCCTTGGAAACAAAAAAAATGCTAATCATAAGCACTTAAAAGCATAAATGAGCAAGGTAATCAATAAAAAATTTGAGCATTTGAGATCCGAAATCGTCTCTGACAGCTAAGCATTCCATTGGGGTTGGGGGGGGGGGGGGGCGGGAGAAAGAAAACATCCCACTAGAAACCACAAAATGAGTCCTAGAAACACAATTCAATTCCCTAAACCCTATAAGAACTCTAGAATCTCCAAAAGATGGCATTTCCATTAAAAAAATACATATACCACAAAAAAAAGGAGAAGAAAATAAAACACAAGAGAAGCCCTGGAAGCATAACTTCAACAATACATATCCTAAAAAAATACCAAAACATCCAAATCCAAACACACAAGAAAATCATAGAGTATTACCAATAAGAAGAATCATATGAAGAACTCTTCTCATTCTCATTTTCTGTTTCAATTTAGCACATTATCAAAAGAAGAAGATAAAGGAGAAAAAAAGGTAAGAAGTATTACCAATAGCCTCCTATAACAACATCGCTCTCTCTAAAGTGGGTCAAATCATTGGTGAAAAGAAAATTGAAAGGGACATGAAGTTGGGAATGTTATGACAATCCATGCCTCTCTCAAAACTAAGAAATCAAGTTGTGACACAGTTGAATTCAGAGGAAATGCAGAGCAAATTCAAAGTAAATACAAAGATGAGAGAAAAATAAGAGAAACAAAGGCGATTGAACCATTTTGCTTACGGGGTAAGTTAACGTGTGACGACATCCTGAGGCAATAAATAAATTGCTTTTTCTCCAATATCTCCCTTTCGACCCAAAGATTCTTGGAACAAATGTTTGAAAAATTCAGAAACCAGAAAACAAATTTTAGAGAGAAAAAGTAAATAGAGATAGAGAATTAGAGACTAAATTTTTCTCTTTCAATAATTAATATAGTGAGAACAAAACAAAATGATGGAATTCGATGCATAAGCAGAGGGGTTAGAACACTGAGAGAGAAAGAGAGATTTCTATCTTCGAGAATAATGATTAGAAAAGCTAACTTTTACCATTATAGAAATCACTCGAAGAGTCATGCTACTGTGTAATCTGCCATCCTTCAGTGGTCTCTT